GAATGCTAGTCTTTTCCATAACATGCTAATTTTGTATGAGTAAGGAGTATTTTGTGCAAGAGATGTTCAATCACCTACTAGGTACAGCCTAGCTGTAGGTTTTCCTGTTCTTTGTTTTAAGTCTCAAGTATAATTAGTAGGGGACGCGGGTGGCTCTGTGTGTTAAAGCACAGAGCCTAGGACTTGCCGATCAGAAGGTCGGTGGTTCGAATCCCCACGATGGGGTGAGCTCCCGTTATTTGGTCCCTGCTCCTGCCCACCTAGCAGTTCGAAAGCACGTCAAAGTGCAAATAGGTAAATAGGTACCGCTCTGGCGGGAAGGTAAACGGTGCTCTGGTTCACCACAAGTGGCTTAGTCATGCTGGCCACATGACCCAGAAGCTGTACGCTGGCTCCCTGGGCCAATAAAGTGAGATGAGCACCGCAACCCCAGAGTCGGCCATGACTGGACCAAATGGTCAGGGGTCCCTTTACCTTTATAATTAGTAGAGCAGAGCCTTTGGAAATACCACCAAGCAATCAGGTCCTAAAGTATGGATAGCAAGTACACAGGGAAGACCTATATTTGTCTATCTTCCTAAATAATAGTGGATTCAGCATGTATACTTGCCTTATGAAGAACCTTTTTGGAATGCATGGTGCTCCCGGAGATGCATATAGATTCACCTGTGAAGCTTTTGATTCCACTAAAGTGGCAATTCGTCAAGTAGCCGCTGTCATCAAGAGTGTTACCAGAAGTAAGAGCTTCATGCGTGAGGTAGATATAGAACACTACATGTGCCAAAACACACTGCATTTGATGAATCTGCTCTCTGAAGGGTGAGAAGGGGAGCCCTGACACAAATTGTGGTGTCACAAGTCTTCTGTGACTCAAAATATGTAGGATTCCATCGATGTAAGTATGGTGATGAATTTTAGGGCCAATTTGCCCCATCTGTGGGATAGCACCTGAAACTGCAGCACTTGGTTGCATGCACAATAACTCAACCTAACCTGCCCATAGGCAATTCCATGCCAAATTATTATTAAGAAAAAATAAATCCTGATTTGACTTGTGAGTTGCAGAGATGACGGTTTGGGGTAATCATTTTCATGTATATGTATTTCACAGACCATCAGCGGTGTGAAACCTGATTAAATCTCAATAGTCCAGAAGTCCAGAATGATGTTGGCCCTGCAGACTGAGAACAAGGGCTGGTTCACACAAAGCCCTGGCATGTAGAGGCAGGACATTCAGGGGCCAAGCCTAAAGCCAGTATCTCCTCTCTGCATCATGCGTAGAACTTTCAACAAAACTGGGTGATTAGAGCACAGAAATGGGGCTTACACTGTCTCCTCCAATTGTTACTAGTTAATATTTACATTTCTGTTCCATCCTTTATCAATCCCAATGGGGAGTTACAGAAAGCGCAAAAAACAACAACGACAACACCTACATTGGTTCCCTCATTGCGAGAAGTGAGGCTACAGGGAACCAGACAGAGGGCCTTCTCGGTAGTGGCGCCCGCCCTGTGGAACGCCCTCCCATTAGATGTCAAAGAGATAAATAATTACCTGATATTCAGAAGACATCTTAAGGCAGCCCTGTTCAGGGAAGTTTTTAATATGTAACGCTGTACTGTTTTTAACACTGATTGGGAGCCGTCCAGAGTGGCTTGGGAAGCCCAGCCAGATGGGCGGGGTATAAATAATAAATTATTATTATTATTATTATTATTATTATTATTATTATTATTACATAAAAGTGGTAAAACCATGCAGCAATCTAAAGTACAATAGAGCACAGAAGCACAGAAGATTTACACTAACCGTTTTGCAATTCAACAAGAGAATTGCAATTTGCAATTCAACAAGAGAAAGCCTGGCTGGTTAGATATGTTTGTAATTGGCACTGTAAGATGTGCAATGATGATGCCAACCATATCCCAGGAAGGTGGAATTCTGCAACTTGAACGCTCTATCCTCATTCATAGCATAATGAACACCAGTTGGAGGGACCATGAGAAGGGCCTCTCTTGCAGACACTGAATAATCAATTATGGTGACAAAGCCACCTCCAGGGTGAGTGGAAGTGGGTGCGGGCCAAACCCAGAGCCCACCCCATGTCTAGCAGTACTGCTATGCTTCCTTTTCACAGAGCACCCAACTAGGTCAGCAGCAGCCCAAGAGAACTCTTAATATGCAGGCCCTACTGCTTTTTCAACTAATGGGGTTTGTTTGTAGGCCACCAATGTCTAGGAGCTGGCATTGCACAGTGGGGAGGGCACACAAGTTCAAGGATCACTCCTGCATGCCAGTGTAAAATTTCTGTACTTGGGCTGTAAGCTAAGCCAGGCAAGTATTTGTTATTGGGTTAACTTTCTGCTGAGAAAAATGGCAAAGCAAAGAACAAACAAAAGCCAGGTACCTGTGTTTTAGCGAGTAAGATTCAACCACAGAGGAATTATCTGAATCTTCAGTTGTGCATCTTCTTCATTATATATGGGTAACAGTAACTGTGATGGGGGGGTGTCCTCTCTTCCTTAGCTTCAACATCAATGCTGCAAGATTTGTTGGGTGCATATAAAAATATCCTTAAGATACAGGTAGGGTGGTCTTAATACGTCTGTGAATCAGCTTACTGTATTCTTTCTTTTTGTGTGGCGTTGCATTTGCTAATACCCTTGGAGGTTTGATTCAAAAGTAAGGAAGAATCAAAAACCAGGTTTCTGTTGTTTTGAGGTGTGCTTCTCTTTGAAATAAGGTATCGGCTGGCAAACAAAGGAATTCTTCCAAGTCAATTGGAAGTTTCTGACTTGATATCAGAGGAGAATGTTTGCGGTGAATATAAATAGTAAGAAGCTCCTTTCAAGACCAATCCTTAGGTAAAAAGAACTGTGATGTAACTCTGTAAGCATACAGGATGTGTATAAGATATCAGAAGCGTCTGATGGAAGAACTGTGGAACAGACATGTGTTTTTCCATAGGGGTTGACATCATAGTTTGATGTAAACATTTTTGATGTTTCCACCTTTGCTCACCAAATCATGATAAAAGAGGGGGCAAATAATTCTGAGCAGAATGCTAATTTCGTCTCACTAGGCAAAAGTATCCCACACAGATTTTGCTTCTTTATTAGTATTGCCAACTTTTGTGTTGGGGGGGGGGTCCTGACCCTTTAAAACCTGTCATAATTGGGAACAGGATGCAGTCTGGCAAGAAAGTGGAGTAGCTGAGTGGGATGGGGTTAAATATTCTGACAGAGCTTGGCAGATAATGAATGGAACCTGGGGAAATCTGGCGTTTACTGGCATTTCAGACCTCCGGATTTGTTTCTTCAAACAATATACTTATGCTGATCAAACCATTTAAATACAGACTGACTGGGAGCTCAGTTACTTGATATCAACCAATGAAAGTCACTTGAAATGTGCTATACAAAATTTAGCAGGCCTGGCTAGAAGCCTTTCTTCCTCATGTGCTTTTTGCAGGATGTTTTTATATTCATTAAAAAAGGTATCCATACAAATATTGTGCTTTATTGCTTGCACAGATCCAGTTTGTATGTTAGGTTTCATTCCATGTGGCTGTTGCCAATATAAGAATGCATGAATGAGAAAGTCACTTGGAAGAGGCCAACCATATGTTATGACCCCATGCCGGTACTGCTGATGCGGATCTTGACTGATGGACAGGAGATGATAGGCTGTGAGTTTAGCATGTGATTCAGCCCTGTCCTATGACCTCTTCACTACATTACTAGAGCAACAAGGGACACAACCACAGGGAAGCAGCATCTGCTATGGCAACCTTTTGGTTCCCTTGTTTTTTAATGCAACTCCCATCATCCCTGGCTGAGTTGGCTGAGGAGTTGTGGTCCAGCAACATACGGGGACCCAAGGCTGAAGAACTCTGTGCTATGGTCAGCTAATGTCTGATATGGGTTTTATCTCATGTGGTACCAAAAAAAAGTATTCAAAGAAATCCATACTTTGATTTGTTCCTCATTAGATTGTCCCCTCAAATATGAATGAAATTAGGACTAAAGCAAGTTAAGCACTTCAGGTGGTTTATGTAGAGTCTTCATTGGCCTGATTCATGCATTGCTTATGTCTCTTCTGTCTACCGCATATTCCCACAGCACATTGCACGAGGGATTTGAGTGTACAACAGTAGCTTAGTTTGTGTGATTCTTCTTCAAGGCGAAAAAGGGGCAAGAAAAGATAATGTAAAACAGGCCATCATGTATAGGCAGTGACTGTTTTTTGGTGCAACTGTGTGCGTCACAATAATGGGTGGGGTTGGAATGTTTTCAGGCTTTTTCAATGGTGTTTTGAATATATGTGATTCCACTTAAATACGCAGTGCCTTGGAACATAACCACCATGTAAATTGGGAGTTCTCTGTACAGTGGTGCCCCGCAAGACGAAATTAATTCGTTCCGCAATTTTTGTCGTCTAGCGAATTTTTCGTCTTGCGAAGCACGAAATCCCATAGGAATGCATTGAAAATCAATTAATGCGTTCCTATGGTCAAAAAAAGTCCAAACAAAGCCAAATTTGGTACAACAACAGTTTATTAACTGCTCTTTAAAGTCACACATACTGTAAAGAGCAGTTCAAAAATTGAAGGGAAAATAAATTAACTTTATAAACAAAACATGTCTTTGTTTTTAGACAAAGAAAACAAAGTCGCGAGACGTTTTCGTCTTGCGAAGCAAGCCCATAGGGGAAATTCGTCTTGCGAGGCAAATCGAAAACGGAAAAACCTTTCGTCTAGCGAGTTTTTTGTCTTGCGAGGCATTCGTCTTGCGAGGTTCCACTGTATTGCAAAAGAGGTCTTGTGGAGGGGGAGGGACACACAGCCTCTTATAGATCACATGAAGGGACTCAGAAGCCCAGTAACAGCATGTGAGTTGATCTTTAATTTGGGCTGTGCCAGAGACTGTGAGGGGGTGGGGTTATCTTAAGGTGCAGTAAAAGTGACAAATCTTTTTATTCAACTATTACTTGCTTTTTAGGCACTGAATTTTGGAGATATGCCGAAGTACTTGTGGGAGATTTGGGTACCTGACAAACCATGGGTGGTAAGATATCAGAACTGTTCAACAACAGCAAAAGAACCAGTTTGTTTGTTTTCTTCAAAATCAAGTATTGTGGGTCCAGCTTCCCATTGAAACCAGTGCTCAGGCTCCCTTAGGGAGCTCCATTCACCAACATGTTTCACCAACATAGTATATTGGGAGGGGGCATAAAGGGATCGTTATAGGGCTTAGTATAAGAGGAACTGTATATACTATATGATGCCACTGTTCAGTAGGACCCCAGGGGTAGGGCCAGGCCATGGTCCCTGAGGTCAGTAGTTTTAACTGGAAACTAGAGAGGAGTAAAGCACCAAACAGAACGTGGTACTTCTTGGGTGTCTAGATTTACATGGAAGACCAGGCCTAACCAATCTATAGGCTTCATAGTGTCCAATCCTGGACACAGTCCTTGGTAACTCACTAGGCTGGGCCACAGTCTCAGAACCTGAACTTTCTGGTTTAATCTGAGGAATCCCTACCACTCTCATGGAGTGAAATGTTTTGAAATTGTAAATAATGATTTGTTTCAATAGAATGAGGGTGCTCTATAATTCCAAGAGATCTGGAGAAAAAATAAAAGTTTTCTTATAACTGTCTTGGAGTTGACCATATGCATTGCCAAAAATACGAAAAATAAATAAATGAGATGTATCGCAAAAAGGGACATAAGAAGACACAAGTTTGCAGAGAAATAGCATTTTCTGCAATTTTAGAAATAATTACAAAAAATTAAGTAGAAGCACAGTTCACCTTACCGTAGTATGGAAAAATGCTCTACTGCATGCAGGCAGACACACACACACACTCCTCTCTTGTTTTAAGGTTCTCTATCTTTAGAGAACCTTGGACCAGGTAGCATTTCAAAAAAGGACTCCCTCAAATAGAGTCTTCTATGAAGTAGGAAACACAGACCCTGTAACTGACATGGCAAATATATTTTTTTCCACTGTAAAATATTTGCATTAAAGGCAAATTCACACAAAATACTCATTTAACATTTGTTGCTTAACAAAAAATAAATTTGAAAAATGACTTGTAGGTGCAGGCAAGGGAAGCATTTTTAAGTCCCATTGATTTTGATGGGAGAGATTTAAGCAGATGCTTCAGTCTTCCATTGAAACCAATGGGACTTAAACTACTCAGCTTTGGTTGTTGAGTGTCATATTTTTTTCCCATATTATCACTCAATAGGAAAAAAAATTGCTGATTTTGTTACTAGGAAATTAAGCATGCAAAAGCAGCCTCCAATTATATCTCATTGGAAGCTTGTATTTCATGCAAGTCTTTTACAATTCTGTCATTATACTTTATTGCTTACGTTTGAAATCATTATGTTTTATTGCAGAGCTTTGTAGATTACACTTTTCAATTCAGACTATTTCTTTCGGAGTTTTGTTGGCTACTAATAAATATATTAAGCTTTTGATAATTTGCTTATCGATGTTTATGCAATGCACTTTAATGGGGCACTTAAGCACATTGAAGTACTAGTGAAATGTGTGTTGTCCACTTGACTGTGTTTGGGATCATGGTCTTCGTGTGTATTCTTGTTATTTATCATGTATGGGACACTAAGGGCTTGATCCAGAACAGGACATCTCAACATGCAAAAGTGCATCCACAGCTAATGTGGATGCCGATGACATTATGATGAGCATGTTCAGCTCTATCACAGTATTCATTGTGCAGGGCCTATTGAACTGTGTGTGTTTTGGGGGCTGGTTCTTATCCACAATAATGTTTGAGAATGTAAAGCTGGATATGTATGTAGACCTTGGTATTTTTTAACTGTGGCTTTTGCTTATAAATGTCACTAAAAAGTAGTAACTCTTTCAAACAACTCAACAGAACTAGTCTGGAAGTTTCTCCCATTTAGCCAAGCTACATCATTAGCTATAAAGTATTTTCCCCCAGCTTCTGTTTCATTTTGACTCATGCTTGCCCTCAAAGCAGCTGTTTAATTTGAATGTAATTTAGGCAACTAGAAAGGCACTAATTTCCTTTTTTGTTACTTTTTAAAAGTTAGGCCAGTTGTTAAAGCTACAAATGAGGTAGCAATTATAGGGAGATTCAAATAGATCCAGTCCAACTAGGTGCTATTCTGTTTCGTCCTGACACCGTCTCAGTAAAGGAAAGCAGAGCAACAAGATGTGTTTTATATCTTGAGTTCATCTCTCCCTAATTAGTACTGTTTAATGAACCGTTCACCCCCTTGGTTCTCGTGCCTCCCCTTGGGGATTTCCCAGCTGTTTTGCTCTCCTGTTGTAATTGAAATCCAACTTGTTCCAACCTGTAATTGATAGTGAATTCAACCATTTTATGTTTGCCATGAGACAGACGTATGGCGTATGCATGCAAGGCAGCATATGGACAAAAGAATGGCCTACCACCATGAAAGGAAATTTGATTTTGCATCACCATTGTTTATACAAGGAGGTGATAATACACAGATAAGATGAGAGTATATGCAGCTGTGCATATCTACACAGTCATCCTGCAGGCTTCATCACCTGTAAGTAGGCTGCAGCCTCAAAGGAAGGAAGGAGCTAGGGAGGAAAGTACAGGACTGGGCCAGCCTGGGGCTCCCAGTATCCACCATGTCAGGACTGCGCACATCCCAGTGGGAGCCTGTTCTGAATGCCAGAATGTCTGCATTCAGGGGTTACCTTACCTCCAGGTCTACGGCTGTTAATTTTTATTATTTGCTAATTCCTCTATTCATTAATTGTATATCTTGCCTGTCTTTCTCAGTGGATACTCAAAGTCACCCTAAAGTTCCCATTAGCCACCCTGGTTCAGCCTGCACAGCACCGCTGCATCACTTCCTCTTCATGACAGACTGATACAGCCTCCATTGTCCTTGAAATATTCAGAAGGTATATACAGAATGAGGAAATGTGCATGTGTGACAGAGCGGTGGGAGGTTGGATTGTGGCAGCAGGCCCCACCCCCAATCTACATGCAAAGGCTGCATGTGTATTTTCAGCTGCATGTGTGAAGTAGCCCTTGCCCTAAGTGCATTCAGTTACCCTGGACACGTTGGCTGAATAACACTTCTATATATATGTTTTATCCATGGCCCCTGTTTTCCTTAGCCTCCACTTCCCTCAAGTCCTTGTAATCTCTCTGTCTCCTATTACCTGCCTTTTCCCCAGGTTCTTTCATCCCATCCCATTACTTACCCTGCCCTCTGCCTGTAGCCATAAAGCCTTTCAGAAGCTTTAATCCCAGCTGAATTGAAAGTTTTCACTTCTTTCACAAGACAGGCTATGAATATTGTGCTGGGCCACTTGCTTCATGAGCAGCTGGAATACTTATAGACGTCCCCTTCCCTTTCAGCAGTGCAACCAATCACTGCCAGAAGTCTCAGAGAAAGCGGTTTAGGAGAGAAAGCATAGCTCAGTGGAAGAGGATGTGCTTTGCATGCAGAAAGTCCCAGGTTCCATTCCTGACATCTCCAGTTAAACAGATCAGGTGGTGGGTGATGTGAAAGATCTGTGCCTGAGCCCCACAAGAAGTCCTGCTAGTTAGGGCAGGAAGTACTAGACTAGATGGGGGAAATGATTTGATGTGGTATGAGGCACTTTCCTACGCAGTGCACATCACATAACAGCACAGACTAGCTGAACATCATGCGAAAGTGCTGCAAGATCTGTCTGTTGTTTCAGTTGGCCACCGGGGTCAAACTAGCAAAGGGTTAGAGCCCTTCAGTGACGACTACAACAAAACAAAACTTTTAAGATGTTTTACTGTGGTGGAGGATTGTTGGCTTTTACTGCCTACTTAAAGTGTTCAGGATGGGGCAGGATATAACTCTAAATTATGCCTGCTGCAGAATTTGTGAGTCACAAAGCCATAACATAGCCTTCTGGGGCTCAAGAGGCCCTCCTGTTTTGCTTCCTGCCTGGACAGCAGAAACGGGCTGGGAGGTTTGATCTTGAAATAAACTAAACATAACAAAAAATATAAGGTAGCAGTATATTTTATGCATGCAGAAATCATGTATTAATTGACCACAAAAATGACCAAGCTTATACTTAGTAAAGTTGTGGGTGTATTCTGCTTCCGCCCTCCTTTCCTTCAGGAAAATATTCATTCTTAACAAAATATGCTGCCTTAGAGACTATTATTTTATTTTGGGTCATATTTCCTATGTCATTCAAGCCAACATATAAATCAATGGATTGATGGGCTTGCGGGGGGGGGGGGGCATTTAGGTAATTGAAGCAGTTCCCCACCCCTTTCATAATACTTGGACATTCCATGCATTAGTCCACATTACTAGATTAATTTGGGATTTTGCCATTCACTGAATACATTCATAGTTTTATCTCAGTCAGTGAAGCTTCACAGACCTTTCTTGTATGCAGACAAGACGGATGCAAAACAATGTTATCTGTTTAAAAGGAAGAATCTGTTTAATTCTTATGAGTGGGTAAAATCCCCCCCTATTTAAAAATCATTTCTATTACTTGGTATTTTGATTGGGATCAGTTTGACACCTGTCATCTCTAAAATAAGCCTCCACTGGCAAAGGAAAGAGTCAGTGTTCACACAGAACTTTTTCTATCTTTGACTTCTGTGATCGGCAATAATATATGTACATTTTTAATGCTATCTCATGTTATATGTTTAAAGGCCCAGATTATTTGTAGTCTTGATCCTTTTTTAAAAAAGAGCACATAAGACATAAATCAGAGATGTCAAAGAGAAGCTGTCAGCAGAGTATCACAGCAAAGGCTCTTGTGCACTCTTAAATTTCTGCTTGAAAGGAGCTCTGCACACTGTTCCCTTATGAGTCAGCTTCGTCAGATACTGGCAACAACTCAGGGTGGTAAAATCAAGCTATTTGCCCCTTGGGCCCTGAGGTGTAATTCAGGACATTAACCATCATTCAAAGATATACGTGTTTTCCCTTTTCTTGTCTCCAGAGACAAGAGGACTGGGAGGCCACTGCAACCCAGCATCCAAATCTATCTATCTATTTATTGTTACAAAAACTA